CCGCCCGCAAGTACAAAGACTAGGCAAGTGTGTGTACTACCCATCATTCCCATGGTCGCTGAACGATCGCAGCGCCAAAGGGCCCTCTAGTTAATTTTGAGAAACTCTATGCTTCACCGCTCCTTATCTCGCCATTCGCTCTTTCACCTTTCCTTCCTTCGTGTTCTCCTCCCTGCACCCCACTCTCCCATGCGCTCGCTCATCACTCTCATACGTTCGCTGGCAGGGAGCCTCTCAAGGGGATGGCAGAAGACAGGGAAGGCGCATGTTTGACGGCAACGGTACCCTCTCTAAGCGCAAAAAATGTAGTCGCATTTTCTCACGATTTCCTTAAGGGCTTTTTTTATATTGTTTTCCTCTGAGTATATATTCCGCCGCATTCGCACCACTTTCTTTTCTGCAAGTCACAGCCGCCCCACGTGGAACCATGTGACGTCATCCCGAAGCTGCTGCCGCCTGGCAGTGCTTGGTCTGAGACGTCATCCGATCATCGACTACTTAAAGACACCTGGAACCCCCCCCCCCCCCCCTCCCTTAGTGGGCACGGTGAAATCCGTGGAAACATGACTAAACGTTTCCTCTGCCTTGTGCAGGTTAGTAGGGCGTACAGCTCATTTCGAAGCGATTGCCGCTGTTTGGTTGTTATGCCGTGCCCACGGCAGTGTCGTAAAATTGCATACGATTGTTTTTGTGCACTTCGGTTACTACTTTGTGGTGATGTCGAACAAAACCCCGGACCTACCAACCAAGACATGGTGGCTAAACTTTTAGAGGGTCAAAAAGCTCTCCGTAGTGAGGTAGCAGACCTTACAACTAAAACGGAAAACATGTTAGCAGAGCTTACACGGCGTCTTTCGGAAATCGAGACCCATGTGGCTGAAATGAAAACTAAAATTTCAAAATTAGATGACCTGGACAACCTTCTTAAGGTCTACACAAACTCAATGAATTTCCAGGCCCGAAAGCTAACGGATCTTGAAGATCGAGGCAGACGTTCAAACTTGATTGTTTTTGGTATCCGAGAACAGCCGGAAGAAACTGAATCCGATCTTAAAAAGAAAGTCGTCTCTGAAACGTTTCACAGCAAGCTCGGCGTTAAATGCACTTCTGTTGCCCGGATTCATAGGCTTGGAAGATCAGGCTCGAATAGGCCGATTATCTTGTATCTTCAAGACTTCACCGAAAAGCTAGCTGTGCTGAAAAAGGCGAGCAACCTAAAGGGAACTAGCATCTTTGTACAGAACGACTACTCAAAGCAGACGTTGGCAAAACGTAAATTACTGTGGGAAAGTGCAAAAGCCGACAAGGAACAAGGCAAGAGGGCATTTTTGGTGCATGATAAGTTGCGTGTAGGTGATGATCTGTTTATTTGGAATGACGTAACAAACAAACGTCAATTAATTGGAAGCCGTCGGAGTGCCACGGCATCGCCTCAGTCTATAGGCAGTGCACCCGATAACGAAAGTACGGGTAGCAAGTGTTGACCAGCTGCGCAAAAGCAAGTTAGACTGATTAATATGAATGCTCGAAGCATCGTAAATAAAACCGAACAACTTGAGGCTGTACTCTTAGCATACAACCCTCATGTAGTTGTAATAACGGAAACGTGGCTCCACAGGGAAATGTGTAACCAAGACTTAGTGCCTCCAGCTTATGAAATGTACCGCAGAGATAGGGCCTCAAGAGGTGGTGGAGTTGCAGTACTTGTTAAAACGGGAATTACTGTCACCCGTTTACCTGACGTTGAAAGTACAGAAAGCATATGCCTGAGGCTTTCACTCTTCAATGAGTCTTTTGTATTGTATGCAGTGTACAGGCCGCCGAATGCGTTGCCGGATTATTTGTTTAACTTGAAAACCCATATGGAAAATTATAGTAATCAAAAGCTAATTGTCATCGGCGACTTCAATCTGCCTAATATTGACTGGAACCAAATGCAGTCGACATCCTATTTGATTAATGCAAATATACTGTTCGATATAATGCTTTCCCACAATCTCGCCCAAATTGTTCAGCAACCGACACGTGTTGGTAATGCTTCGTCCACGTTACTAGATCTTGTGTTCATGCATCGCACTATTCTTGATTGCTGTGTTTGTGTTGAACCCGGCTTATCTGATCACGACATGGTCACAGTGTCTTTTCCCTTGCATTGTAATCGCTCCAATAGCCCACCCAACTTTAAACAGGTCAAAAATTTTTTCCGTGCTAACGATACGAGCATCCAAGATTATCTTGAATTTGAATTGGTGAATTTTGATGGCGACGACGCTGCTATTCTCTGGGATAAGTTTAAGAAACTATGCTTCCACTGAATTGAATGGTTTGTACCAAACAAAACAAAAAAACCCCAAAGTTCACACCATGGATCACAAGGCCAATAATTCAAATGAAGCGTAAAGCCAAGCGCTATCGGAAAAAAAGGTGCTCCCGCTAACATTCTCAGGGAAATCCGTAACTTCCTCTCCGAAGCTATTAAAAGTGCCAAAAATTTTTATTTTACTGTCAAGTTACAAAACTTAATCAAAGAGGACCCTAAAAAATTCTGGTATTTTATTAGGGCCCGTAAAAGCTCTGTAAACCGAATCAAGTTTAACGGCACTATAATTGACCATCCCCAAACTATCGCGAAAAATTTCAACGACTATTTTCATAGTGTTTTTTCAACTTCTACCCTGCCTGTCTCAATCAGCATTGACGCTTCTGATTCAGATCCTAACCTCATTTCATTCGATGGTGTCCTAAATTTACTGCTGCGATTAAAAGTTAAATCAACCCCTGGACCAGACAACATACCCAATGCATTTCTCCGGCGATATGCCGAAATATTGGCCAAGTACATTGTTGTGATCTTCCGAGCCTCAATAAGTTCAGCAACTTTACCCATCGATTGGAAATCGGCACGTGTTCTGCCCTTTGTGAAAAAGGGGGACCCAGAGTGCATATCAAACTACCGTCCAATTTCTATGACTTCCGCATGTTGCAAAATGCTAGAACATATAATTGCCACTCGTATAAACAGCTTCTTAGATGATAACCACATTTTATCTCCCTTCCAGCATGGATTTAGAAAACGGTTTTCCACAGTCACCCAGTTCGTCTGTTATTCATCACATTGCTTCTATTTTAGACAAAGCTGGTCAGGTCGATGTACTGTTTTTAGATTTCAGTAAAGCCTTCGACCGTGTTCCCCATAACAAGCTCATCGAGAAATTGCAAACTATAGGGCTTCCGAACTACCTACTATCCTGGGTGTCTGCTTACCTGAACGGCCGGAAACAGTATGTCGACGTCTGTGGACAGACATCACCTCATCTCCCAGTAGATTCCGGCGTACCGCAGGGCAGTGTTCTAGGTCCGCTGCTGTTTATAATTTATTGCAATGATATTGTTAATGCTATTACTGATCCGGTTAAAATAAGACTCTTTGCAGACGACTGCATTATTTTCACAGATGTAGACTCGTCAGATAACCAGGTCGCTCTCGACACTGCCCTTAACAATATTCTTTCGTGGTGTAACAAATGGGACATGGTGCTCAATTTCGATAAATCTGTTTGCCTTCGAATTTCTAACAAGAAAAATCCCCTTCAGTTTTCCTATTCCTCCAAAAGCCAACCCTTAAAAGAAGTCAGTCAATACAAATACCTAGGTATGACGATAACTTATAAGTTGTCCTGGAATGCACACATTGCCGATGTTTCGTCATCGGCTTTCCGTAAACTGTGTCTTTTAAGGCACAAACTCAGATACGCCTCGTCGCAAGTGAAACTATTAGCTTATAACACTTTAATACGTCCGAAGCTTGAATACGCTTGTATTGTATGGGATCCGCATACTAAGTCTAACATATATTCCCTCGAAAAGATTCAAAGACGAGCAGTGCGTTTTATTTACTCGAAGTATGGTCGTGGTACATCAGTTACTGAACTAATGCGAGATAACGAATTCCAAACGCTACAATCGCGGCGCCAGCTTCTCCATCTAAAATTCTTGGACTCACTAATTAACAATAAACTTGGGCTAGACCCATCACATTACGTTACCCCAGTTTCGACCAGGCAAACTCGTCATTCTCATGTCCGATCTTTAACTCCGTATTTTGCGCGGACAGATTTATTTAAGTTTTCCTTTTTTCCGGGAACTGTAACAGAATGGAATAACTTGCCTTCTGATTTCCTCCAAACCTTCGATCTTGATGAACCCAATGTTTAATTCTGTGAATCTTGACCCCCCACCCCTCCCAATATCGCTTGATTTTTTTTGTTTTGATGTTTCTCTTCTACTCGCTCTCCTCTTACACAGATGTATTTTAGTGAAGCTGTGTCACTCATGTACTGATCTTGTGGTTGTGTTTGTGCCCCTCCTGCTCGGGCATTTTTGGCCTGCAGTATTTTACAAATAAAATAAATAAATATGCGAGTAAAATGTCTGCAAATAATACATTTGTTAGTCTGCGCTCAGTGTTTCTGGTGAGTTCAGTTCGTTCCTGTACAATAAAAAGCATGATTACCCAAGATCCAATAACAAATAGCCCCTGCTCTTATTACGATAAACTGGTGATCGTGGGAACTCGCCGTCTTATATACATCAAGCATTGATTCTTTCAGCCTTATCACTAGTCGTCACGCAAGCTCTGGAATAATGGTAATAAGCTTTAGCGTTCGCGTCTTGAGCGCAGTCTTAAGAAAATGATCCACTACGGTCCTGAACCTTCTTGAAAATTGAAGGCATGGTTTACCCTGAGAATTGCTTACAGTCTTTGCAGGTGTAAACCCAACACAGCAAAAGCGAAGAAACGCTCGTGGCAGTATTCACCTGAAGGAATGTAAAATTTCAATCACGCCACGGGCAAACTTCTCCGCCGATTTATAAATTAAGCGCTCGACCCACTTAATTTGTTCAGCTTATTTGTGAATACGCAAGAATAAACCCACATGTACTTATTATGATTGAAATTGGGGGTCACGGTCTTCTTAAGAGGTCGTTTCGATCGTCACCTGCACGGCTGGTCCGCCCGAGACGGCTGTGTAGTTGAACTTGCCGGCATGCACGACCACCGTGTTGGTTGGCTGCACGCAAAGCACGCGCACGGCCACGGTGGCCGTGAAGGTGTCGTCGTCGTCGTCCGTCGCTGCTGCAGCCTCGGCCGCGAAGCGAGGCCTCATCTCGATGTCGTAGTGCTCGGGCATCAGGGCGCGAGGCAGGCGGTTATTGTAAACCTGCGCCGACGTCCGGTGCCGAGCCCGGAGGAACGCCAGAGTGTCCTCGCGCAGCACCGACGTGTGCGCCAGAGGGCCGGGCCTGAGAAGCGGGTCCGCGCGGAACTTTCAACTTCTCGCGATCGGGTGATCTACGTTCCTTTCAAGCGTTACGTCACACCTTGGAGCCCAACGCTTCCAGGAAAGTCGCTTTCCTTGCTTGTATTCTATGTAAGATGTCCCTGGAGCTATTTTCAGCCAGAGTTGGAAGATATGATGCGAACGCACTCAATGACAACGCGACCTGAATGCATGTTGCTGACTATTGTCTAAAGTACATCACACTCTTTCTTGTGTTCTGTTTAATCATCTAATTAACTCGCTTTAGCTTACTAACTATTTACGTAACGAAGTTGGGCCATGAATTCCAGTGAAAAAGTAAAACACTTCGCAAGATGCCCACTTGCAAGTTTCTAACTTCCTGATACTGCAGATACCCGTGAAATAAAAAAAAAATCAACGTGACATATTCACCGCCGCGCCAGTGCACGCGTTAATTCTAGTGCTCCTTAACTTTCCGTGTGGAAACAACGATAACACTTGCCCTGTTGTGCTGTCTCGACTAAGCAGCGATGATAGTGGAGGCTCTGCGACGAACACATATTGCTAGCGCTCTAATTAAGCAATGACCTAGAACGCAGAAAATTATCTGACTTATAAAGGCAACAATCGGCAAGATGCTTTTGGTCGCGCCGTCGTTAAGTGTGTTGGCATACTTTTAAACTCGGACTTTAAAATTAGCTGGGGCACCCTGTATATAGCTACATCTTGCTCCAGAGGTCAGGAGAACTGAGCAATACGGAAAAAGAAGTTGAATCACAGAGGAAAACAGCGCAACACAACGAAAACAAGCAGGAGCAAACAGGACCCGCGCTGGCCACTTGTGTATTCGTTGCACTGCGCTGTTTACCACTGTGATAATGTAATAATAAGGTCAAGTTCGCACGGTTTTCGAAGAAGCTTACTGCAAGCTTTGATAATACGAAGTATGGTTTTCATGGCGTCGAAGACGGGACTGCAAATGCCTTACTGGGCTTAAGCGGACCCAGCGTGGCCTACTACACCGAAGAAAATGCACAAGACACGACACAAATACAGCCACAACTGCACATCCCGCCAATGAATAACCTGAAAAAAGTAAAGTATCGTGTAACGCGAAGCATTAGGTATGATGCAACCGGTGCGAGATTGAAGCTGAATGAAACTGTGACATCGTCGCTTCGTTCGTTTTCTATTGAAACGTTTTCCGTCACAGCGGAGTACCGGTATGATTGTGCACGCAAGCAAATGGGCTTTAAGTGCATATTTCCACTGGGAACTTTCTCATCTGCGAATTTCTCCACCCACAGCAACTGTGTCATTTGGTAATGTGCCTTGCAACATAGGACCCTTCGAACGACGTAGGAGCAACCACTGTGTTGTCTACGCTGAAATAGCTCGGTAACACATGGCACATATTTTCCCGCACAGTCTGCTACTAAACGGCGCAGATATGCCGTCATCATTAAACTATGCACTCAATTCATTCACAATAGCAATTAAACACTGCATTAAAGCGCTGATCCGGGACGATTGTGTCCACCGGCAACAAGGAGATCTCATCTCTACAGCCAGCGGAACAGCTGCTGTCACTGCAGCTGGGCACATTTCAGCGTGTCGCTAAGTTGTGAAACACGATCATTGACTGCGTGAGCAGTCTGGCCATTGAGCCACAAAAGATACGTGAGCCACAGCTCCGACCAGGCGTCGTGCTACCCCCGTATACGGGATACGACCACCCGAAATCAGCGGCCAACTTCCTAGATGAAGTAGACAGCCACGCCAGAGCTACTTGCGCCTCGGAAGCGTACGTGATGGCTCGAATCCTGCCGTTGGCTTTACGGGATGCCGCAGGACGATGGTGAAGCCTACAAGCGCCTTTCCCCACATGGGCGGATTTTGAAACGTGCTTCCGAGAGGAATTTCTGCCACCTGGGTATCGGGCTTGCTCGGTCCCGGCCATAGGTCCATCAAATACGATATTCTCAACTACCGATATTTTTGTCCCACCGACTGCTTGCTGAAACGACCTTTACTAATACAAGCTCGATATAGTCTCGTCTTGCGGCCACAACGCAAGATACTAACCACTATACGATCACGGCTACCCGAAAAAGCAGCCGTAATTGTCTTATGGCATCTGCAAGGTCTCGTCTTATGACACCTGCGTATCAACACTCAGTTGTATTTAACTATTGTTTTAATATATTTTCGTACAAAGAGACAAGGGTGTCCTGTGACGTCGAGTAAATTGTGCTCATCGTTAAGTTTAAAATCTGCCATTTTATGATATGTGGGGTTTAACGTCCCAAAACCAAATCTGCCATTTTAATAACCGATTTCCATGGGCTTGTTTCCTAGACATCATCCTGCATTAATTGTCCCCTCCCCAGTCTCTGAAAATACAATAAAAAACGAGAGCAGTATTCCCTGTCGCCGACTGTCCTATGCATATTTACTTTGTTGAGTTATTTAGTTATCCGCTGTTCCTCAAGGGTGTTTTGTGCGTTTGCACATTCTCGGCAGATGTCGTTACGTTACAAGAACATTAAAAGCTACCACATACCGCGCTTAGTGCTTGCGTGTTGTAAAAAAATTTAAGTGTGTACATACTGGTCTATATAGGCGAAATATCAGACGTGAATTGTATGCTGCAATGCTTTGCCATGCAGTCTCCCACCCGTTCTTTCTTGTCTCGCGTGACTGTCGTGAGCGATCAACTAATTTCACTTCACTTTGTGGCCATCTGAACGGGTGGTCACAGCAGCGTGTAGCCGACAAGCCTGAAATCTTGATAGGCTCGACGCTGACGCTATGGCGTTGACATTGTAGACGTGCCTTTAAGAGATAGCGAGGAGGAGATATCGCCTGAATGCGCAGGCGAGGAGGGAGCGAAGTACCCCCTCCTCTTTGACCACAGGTAACGGTGTTAAGTCTCCAGGTTTCTGCTCAGAGCAGAAACCTGGAGACTTACAAAGAGGGTTCAGCTTAAATTGGGGATGACGCAGCGAGCAATGGAAAGAAAAATGGTAGGTGTAACCTTAAAAGACAAGAAGAGAGCAGAGTGGCTTAGGGAACAAACGGGGGTTAAGGATATCATAGCTGAAATCAAGAAGAAGAAATGGACATGGGCCGGGCATGTAGCGCGAAGACAGGATAACCGCTGGTCGTTAAGGGTAACTAACTGGATTCCCAGAGAAGGAAAGCGGGTTAGGGGGAGACAGAAGGTTAGGTGGGCAGATGAGATTAAGAAGTTTGCGGGTATAAATTGGCAGCCGCAAGCACAGGACCGGGTTAACTGGCGGAACATGGGAGAGGTCTTTGTCCTGCAGTGGACGTAGTCAGGCTGATGATGATGATGATGATGATGATGATGATTATGATGATGAACAGTGTTAAAGGTACCAGCATGTGTATCTGTATGTCGTTTATCTCGTGCACTGCATGCAGTACGTTTTATACAATACTCACGGCAGTGCAGCACATACCTGCGCACGACGGCGAGCTCGGCCGCGCCGGGCCACCAGGCTGGCATGCCGGCATCGGTGTCCACCTGGCGGCCAGCAGAACCAGGTGCCAGCCGGAACCAGGCGACCAACACGGTGGTGACCAGAACCGCCAGGGCCACACCAGGGCCGAAACTACGGCGCATATAGCGGCGCACGGAGCCATCCTTGTCTGCCATCTTTGCGCACCCGGCCCCTGGCGCAAGAGAAGCGTCTCGTTCGCACCGTCGCGATGTTTCAAAACGATAAACAATGCTGCCACTGAGGTGGCGTTGCGCTGTTCTAACACGGTGTGTGTGGCCCGTAACGCTGTGCTTCGTCATCCTGTCCATGTCGGCAGCTTCTTTTCTTGTTTTCCACTTTTATCGTGTTTGTTCTGAAATAAACTTATAGTAATGGTTGCTGCTGTTCTTGGCTTTGTTGCTAATGTTCTAGTTGTTATTATTGTTGTTGTTATTGTTATTGTAGGTCCGCTAACAAACATACACATACACAAGATATTTATCATACATCTGTGCACAACCATGCGCATACGCAATAGTGCTTGTTCGTTTACGTTTTGTTATCACTATGCCGCGTAACTTCATGATCTAAGATAACCCTATTCACTGCCTGTTAGTAAACTGCCTATCAGCCATAGCGTGGCGGATCATCTCCGAATGCCTCTAAGATGAAAGCTTGAAGGCATTGGTCGACGCCAGCGACATCTGATCAAGTGCTCGGACTCGAGGTACAGTTATTCGAGGGAACTTGGAAAGCTTCAGAGTGCCAGCGGGCAAACGCTCACGTGGTAAGAGATGAAAACCGTATGTGTTTCACAGACGCCTTGACGGAGCAATGCTTCACATTTTGCTCCGCTTACCTTATTATTGGTTCAGACGTCGGGGATGTGCCTTTGTTTATTTGACCATTCGTGACCGATCTTCCCGAACAAGTATGGGACCCTCATATTTTGCAGAAGCGACTCGTAGGTCAAGCAGAATGTTCTTGTTCATTGGCCTTGCTACGCAGTTGTGAAAACAGGCTTTTTTTTTCTTTGTTTACAATAAACATCTTTAGAAACAGGCGTTCGCCACTTATACGCATGGCGTATGAAGGACGTCTAAATCATGTCTCCTATGGCGTGTTTCCGGCTTGCATTAACAGCTTCTTTTACGTGCTGATACATAGTAGGTGTAATCATCAAGGTAAATTATACTACGTAGGGAGCCTAATGCAGCAAGGAAGATTGGTTGCACAATGACAGTGGCCCTAGGCGGTGTCTGAAGCAGGGACTCACCTCTGTGACGCGTCCGAAGAAGGGCCCAGCAAGGAGGACCTCGAGATGCGTGTCTTCAATTTCTCTTCCTTTTTTTTCTCACGCCGCTGGGTATGCACGTGCACCTACGAACGTCATCTTCATGCGCAGAACACAATGTGTCAGGCAAGGCTATAAACGGCTTTTCGGGCTATTTGACTGCTTATTCGCACCTCACTATTTCCCTTCCAAGTGAAAACGTGAAAAAAAATTTATTGAGCACAAAAAGGCTGCGCTTTAGCATCACCGTTTAAATTACTGTTCAGGTTAAACAAAAAATTTTGCTTGGACGGCCCGATTGTTGCAGTCTATTTTTTATGTTTTCTTTTGTTTATGATAAAAAAATTCATACACAGGTGTCGTGTGTTCATTTCGGCAAGTGGACTCGTCTTCATCAAAGCAGTCCTAAAGAATAGAAGTCCACTTGCCGAAATGTCGGCTGATGCACCTAAAGCCTGTTTACGGATTTTTCTATCGCGAGCTTCTGTCGTCCCCTTTCTGCCGCCTTTCTTATTTCTCCTCTTTAAATGTTTTGGCGCCTACTTAATATATGTCAACTTTTTGTTTCCCCTTCCTTAAGAGTATCATCGTCATTAGTGTGGGAATTGCAAAGCTGCCAGCGAGAAGCTTCTCATACCGCTAATGTCTAACTTTTATTCAAGTGTGCCAAGGTAGGTCAACGTCTGTGTGTAATTCGATTAGTTGCGTAGGTCAGCTGCTGTGACGCCTATTGGGCAGTGTCACGCAACGACGGTACTCGGGGTCAAGTGCAGACGTTGGCATCAAATGTTTCTGGGTGCAGAAAAAAAACGTTACAGAAAAGAGAACGCATGAGGCTCGGACTTGGGGAAATCCCCCGTCGTGGAAGTCACCAGATCAAATCGCTGCAAATAAGGCGGGTCACCTGCCAGTCCTCTCCAGTAAGGTTGGAAAAGGCCTGCGTTAATCTTGCAGGCCCACACCCTATGGTGGACGATGAAGCTGCTGCGGGAAAGGTCCGAAGTCGTTGGTGCGGATTCCCTATCGTAGAACCAAGTCGCGGTCACGTCCTCCAAGGAAAGGTGCGTGTGACGCAACTTGTCCTCGCAGTTCCACTTGTTCCATGTTGAGACCCCGTCGGACGTATTCATGCCAAGTGCATGGATCGTTACATGACGATCCACTGAAATCAGGAGGCTCCGCGGGCCGCAGCATAAGGAGCGTCGACTGGGACACGGCCGCCGTCCTTATGCTTGATATTTTGCTTGCTTGCTTGCTTGTTCCTTTCTTTTGTGGCTCTCACCCACTAAGGGGGATTGGCAAAGAAGCCGGTGGTTAATGCAAGTCAATACCTTTAGATTTTCTAGACTAGGGGAATATGATTACTGTGTTTTGACTGTGAAATTATTTGGCGCAATGTAAAAAAAGAAAATAAAAGGGGGGTGGGCGAGAAATAATAGAATTTGTTGAATATCTGAGGTGGAATCGTTATATGAAATTCTCCTGAAAGTTGAATCATTGCAGTGTATGAGCTAAATAAGAAGTGGTAGTGTGGCTACTAAAATTCGAGAGTTGATCGCTGACTCAGCAAGGTAATCTTCTTGTGTTATATATTTTTGTAGCCATCAGCCGGCTCCTTGATGGCGTCGAGGCCTTTTTCGCGTCTTTGGCTCGGCCCATGGCTCTCTGTGGGCGTCCGTAATCACAGCACTTTCAGCAGATTCCACTTGGTAACGATGGAGAAGGAAATCTTTGGCAGTAAGACTCTTCAAGGTGAAACTTTTTTTTTGGGGGGGGGGGGGGGCGATTTCGGAAAACTATTTCGGAAGCAATTTCGTAAGGGGGGGGGGGGAGAGGCGAACTTATGCCGAAGAAATACAAACATACGTAACTTGCGACTTCTGATTAATGTCACATCTTTATTTATGGTTTATAGCTTCAGAAAACATAATATAAAGCACAACAAGGTGTCACGCTCACGAATGACAAAACAATTAGCAGCCACAATATGTGAAGAAATCGGCTGAGTCTTCGATGCACGACAATATGCGGTCTCGCAAGCTTCCTCGGGGCTTTCTTGAAGCAGCACGTTTGTGACGATGCTCGTAGCTCTCGGCATACGAACAACGGCTGATCAGTAGGGGATTCGTGAATAGTGAATGTTGGAACTGAAACTAACGCTGCCTGAATAGCAAGAGAGCCATTTCGAAGACATCCCTAGAATTGCACATCATTTTATTTAAAGCAGATATTCGCAAATTTTACCAACGTAAAATTACGGTTGCCTTTTTATAGACAAACAAAAATACCACAATTAAGTGAAGTAAGCTAGAATACAGAAGCGACTAGAGCGTTCCGAGATATTTTATAACCGTAAGAATAAATACCGCGGTGACTAGAGTATTCAAGTTTTAACCAAGGACGACATAATCCAGCGATCAATGTAGCACCAACAATCCCGCAGGAAGTCAAGTGGGTTGCATGCAGTTTGGCTAATCAATCATGCTTAAACAACAACAAAAAAGGGATCCCTGTTGTTCCAAACGCTTCACTCTTCTGTGGCTTTCCCATCGGTACGAATATTCGAAAATTATTTGGTGCGCGCTAGAGGCTGCGATTCTAATTTTTCGAATATTCGCACACCTGATAATTAAGGCTACTAAAATTATTCAGCAGGAAGTCGTTCCGTCAGGCTCGATCGAGAGGGCATTATGCTAAGCTAAAAGCTGCGTCGTGCCTTCAGCATCACTGACTCGGAGCTCGATCGAGGAACGGCAAGTTCATGTTGCACATCCTCCGTGTGCAACGGAGCAATCGCCATCGACACGCGGCGTTCGAGAGGCCGCCAGCCACACAAGATGCGGCAACCGTGGAGGCGCTTCGAGGTCTGTCGGCTGAGTCGAGTAGGCGGGTGGTGGCACGCCGTACACCTGCGAAACGATAAACGTGTTTCGATTGTGATTGGCCCACCTATTTTAAAATGCGCTTGCGTTTTTCTTGCTGTCGCGCAGTTTTTCGTCAATAAGACACTAAAGTAAAAACATTGAAACTGCTTAGACAAAAAAACAAAAAAAAATGGACAGCATTTCCGGAGTGAAGGATGATGGATGGCGCGAAGCTTCGGAGGGTATTATCGGTAAACCATGAATCGTTCGTCCACTGGCCACATCCTCCGTCTGTCCATCCGTCCGTCCGTCCATCTGTCTGTCCGTCCGTCCGTCCGTCCGTCCGTCCGTCCGTCCGTCCATCCGTCTGTCTGTCTGTACGTCCGTCCGTCCGTCCGTCTGTCTGTCTGTCCTACGGATGGACCGGCAGTTAGGCAGACAGATGAACCGACGGACATTTCACCCCACTCAACATCATTCACTCCGTGGATATGCTGTGAATTTATTGTGGTGTCAGTGGCGTGATATTGAAGTCATTATGACGTCACTCACAATAGCACCACCCGCTGAGTGAGTCCTTGCCCGTTCCTTGATTTTTGGCTCACCAACTATGGAGAATCGGCCATGAAACCAGTTGTTAATATCAGAGAAAATTTTCATTTTTAAATGAAATTAACGAAAGTGTACCACGACCACTAAAAATAAACAAAATTTAGGAATGATTAGTTTCTGTAGAATTATACAATTATATGTACACCAATAAGCTAATGAAATCGTTGAATATCAGTGGCAATCTGAAGAAAAACAAAAAAGTAATATATATATATATATATATATATATATATATATATATATATATATATATATATATATATATATATATATATATATATATATATATATATATATATATATATATATATATATATATATATATATACACATATATGGGATATGGCACAACGCTCCCGTTGTGCCCTTGATGAAGGGAGGACCCCTCCCGGAACTGTTGGGAAATAAATATATTTATCCTTGTTGACAACGCTCCCGTTGTGCCATATCCCATACCTTAACGAAGACTAACTGGTCCATTGAATTATTACTCCCAGACTAGAGTCTGGCGTTCATCAGGATGAAGGCCAGACTCTAGGCCGAAACGTCGAAATAAACCACGTCATGACCGCTCACGGAGGATCTACTTGACTATATGCAACGCTATGGCCATTCAACCACCATGCCTGCCTATATATATATATATATATATATATATATATATATATATATATATATATATATATATATATATATATATATATATATATAAACATGCCCACCTGCCGAAACGTTAGTAAAACTTGTGTGTTCGCACGTTTGTCGACCTCTTTCTATATATATATATATATATATATATATATATATATATATATATATATATATATATATATATATATATATATATAAGGCGCTATAAAGGCGCTATTTGCTCGCTGTCTGAAGTTGCTTGTTCTATAGTGGCAGGAATTTTAAGAGGGTTGAAGATATTGTTTGGAATGATAAATAGGGAAGTTAAAGTAATTAACTTTTCATTAGTGGAGTTAGACAGTTGGGTCGAATCAGAGAGTTAAAGTACTTTTTGCGAAAGACCGATTGCTGCTTTGAGATTTCTGAAAAGCGCCTTCTAGTAATAACTGCGAAATAATGATGTTCTCTCCGATTCCGTGGCGAAATCAAAATGCGAAAGAGCGCAACTGTAATAAGGGAGCATTGTTATATCAAGCATCAACCGACTTCATTGTATGGGTGTGGGCTGCGTTCATAATTACAACACGCATGACGTACATTCGTTTTCGAAATGGGAAGAACTGCAGCCCTGTAACCGCTGTTTTGAACAATGACGTCATTGGAGCCGTCTGCTTGTTGCGCTATTCTGGCCGTTGGTTTATGTTTCGCCGCAGAATTCAGGGGAATTTCATTAATTCGTAGTTATTTCTGTATCAGGCATGCGCATGTATCGTACTGCTTGCTTTATCCCAATAGAATTGCTACCACGTATTTCGCCAATATAAAACGTGACAATAAATCCCTTGTTGATCCGTTGTTCCTGCCATCGTGTAGTTGCCTGAGTCCTTACTTGCCCAACATTCAGCGCGGTACAAGGCGTCAGAAGTGGTCACTTTGGGTCAAAGCTTGGTCCCGGCGGAACCCCATCAACGGAGCTACTAAAGGCACCACCACGCTTATATATTATTAATATATTTATAAATGTAAGTTAATAATTTAACTTTTTTAAGTAAATTTCCAAATGATGTCTTTCTTCATTCTTGATAATAAGACGTGTGCCGCTAAAGAAAATGCAACTGTGAGGACAGTGAGCAAATAGCGTTTTTTGCTGATTTTTAAGCCAATAATTGGACACATTTCTTGAAACACCTTTTATATATATATATATATATATATATATATATATATATATATATATATATATATATATATATATATATATGCTCGTGACAGTGACTGACGCCTCTTGAACCAGGCAGTTGGTTTTAGTCAATGAGCCCCTTGATGATATATATATATATATATATATATATATATATATATATATATATATATATGCTCGTGACAGTGACTGACGCCTCTTGAACCAGGCAGTTGGTTTTAGTCAATGAGCCCCTTGATGATATATATATATATATATATATATATATATATATATATATATATATATATATATATATATGCTCGTGACAGTGACTGACGCCTCTTGAACCAGGCAGTTGGTTTTAGTCAATTAGTCAATGAGCCCCTTGATGATGATATATATATATATATATATATATATATATATATATATATATATATATATATATATATATATATTTTACTTGTTACATCACGGCTCACGTGTGTGCAGGTGTGCCCGCTCGAATAGACTCTCAGCCCGGTCACGAGTTTATAAGAATATTCAATTACAAACTAAATGCTCGACGGAATGTGGCAGAATTTCTCAGGTTTAATGGTTTATACAAGATGATTAGCCCACATAACAATAAAACAGATTGTGATCGGATGCCATGAAGAACAACATCGCGAGCAGCGGGGACAGATGAAGGACAGCGCCGTGTGCGTTGTCTCGCCCTGCTTCTCGCGCAGCTCTTGTTTTGGCCACAATGGTGCAATCATTCATGTTTGGTGGTGGTAACAACTTTATTTAAAAATTTCTGCAATTTCGTGGTCTGGGCATAGGTCTTCCCCGAAGACGACCGGAGACCCCGTCTCCTCGCCGTCTCATGGGCTTGCTGGATGCCACAATTGATCCGGTGGAGCTGCACAGCGAGGCCGTCCACCGCGCCGCAGCTTCATCTGAGGAGACTTCATTTTCTTCTGCTAAAACTTCATATTCCCACAGGATGTGCCTAAGTGATGTGTGAGTCCAGCCACACAGTTTGCATCTAGATAGACGTCTGGGTATATCTTCCTAAATAGAGCGGGCTTGGGGAACGTCTGTGTTTGTAATCGCCTCCAAGCTACCGCTTCGGATCTGTCGAGTTCAGGGCTTGGCGGGGAATAAATACACCTAGATTTTTTTTTATGAAAGCTTGTGATGCCACAGTATCTGGGCGCGATACTTTTACCACGGAGCTATTTTTTGGCGACACCAGAAAACTATCAATCGCCATGAATGCGCCCTCTTCGTCTTCACCGTCTGCTTCGCTCCCGTGCAGCGATGTGTCCGATAACTCTGATGAACGATAGAATGAGTAAAGAAAGAAAGGAAGGAATCAAGAAAAGAGAGACACACTAAAATATAAAAGAGGTCAAGCGTATGGCAAGAAGAGGAGGGCGACGCCAGCAGCTCCTGTGCTTCCTTTTCTTCGCGCTCCCAATTTAAAGCTATGTTACATATTGTTATGACCGTCGTCAGTAGGCGCCATGCTGTCGCTGAGACGCGTAGCCGGGCAGCGCTCCCACGCCTGGAACCCCAGTTCTCTCGGAACCTGCGTCCAGAGCTGACGGGGGAGCGGCACTCTTTCAATCCCCAAACAAGTAGCCGATTGGCCGGCTGCCTATGCCCGCCAGGTATTGTCCCTGCTAGCCGGACGATGAGACGCCATGTCGTCACGACGCCGTAAGCCGTTCCAGAGAGGACAACAAACACAGCATCTTCCTTGGAAGAAACCGCGGCCGCCGCCACAAATTGCCCTGCTAATTGAGCGGACAGATCGGCGGACCGTTTGATGTCTGCTGTCAGGAGCTTGGGACCCCTCGATCAGCGGCACACACACGACGAGGAAGAGCCCCGCTGGCGCCACCTTGCAGTGCAGTGATCACGACTCAATATTGGATGTTCACGTGCATGCTCGTACCCCTCGCCTGTTGTGTGTGTGTGATTGGGGTTCCACTCAAGAAGGAGGAGCCCGACAGGGCTTATAACGACGCCGCAGAGTGCGGGACGTCGCCTTGAACCATGTAACGGTTCATCCACCTCGCTCGTGGTCTGTGAAACCACTAGCCCTTCTTTGCTGTAAATACGTGTAAATAATGCTACAAACCTGTTTGTTTTTCGTATCCCCATCTTGTCAGCGTTCGTTTCCTCAACCCGAAGCTACACCACGCTACCACAAAAGACCGGGCAGACCTCGGTATGCAACAACTGGTGATCAGCGCTGGGATTCGGAGCGACTACTGGTGAACAGCGCCGAGAGCCGCAACAACTGGTGTACAGCGCTGGGATCCACAACAATATAGACCAACAAACTCACGATCACGAAATCAACGGAAACATAGTTTTTCATGTAATTGTCTGACCTCATATTTCTAACTCATTTCTTGTCTTTATTATGCCTTCAAAAAAGGGACACTAACGGCGGCGTTTATTCTCGGATTAGTAAACACCAATTTCACAATGCCGAAAGCCCCGCTTTTACCGCGAGAAAACGACTGATAAGTGAAAAAAAAAAACGCTGGGATAAAGAAAGCAATGTACAAGTGGCGACGCTGTCTTCATGTTCGCGCACCAGATAGCCGTGACGTCACAGACTCTGATGGCATGTGATAAGGCCTACGTAATCGTTTCTCGCTAAAACTGATTGATATTGCATTCTAAGCATTCGAAAGAATGCCAATTATTGATGTCGCAAGATTTAGGCAATCTCATTGAAGACATTTGGGCAAAATACACAATAATGTCAGATTTGTGACGTCAGACTGACGTTCACGCGCTCAAGTTAAGGCGCGAAATTCAAAGCTGAAATAGTAACCTTCGTGCATTTCCTCTGGTATATACATAATTATTCTGTAATCGTGGAATAGCGACATCAGAAATGGGAATGGAAATTTTGTCTCCGTTTCTGTGCCTACTAGTCCCGACGGTCTAGCCGTTATGGTCCGGCTGCTGACCCGAAGGTGGAGGGAGCGAATGCCAGCCACGCCGGGTGCATTTCTAACGAGGAGAAATGCGTCCTCCGTGTTTCCAGGAAACCACGTAACTGTTTATGTGGTTAGTTTACGTAGATTTGATATCACAGTAACGAACCCTCGGCACTCAAATTTTACGGAACCTTCCACTGCGGTGTTTCTAAAAATCATTTGCGGTATTGGAACGTTAATGTTCATCATGTATTTTATTTTGCACAAAGTAAAGACGAGATGCTGATTCACCACTCATCAGCGCATACTTGCTGTTTCCTGCACTCAAGAATGAGTCGTTTTATAGCTACAATTTTAATGAATTACATTGCCTCGAAACGGTCAACAAGTACCTATTTCTTGCGCCGGTCCACATCTTGCTTACAGCTCTGAACAGCCGGAGGAACTCAGTGCGAGCTCTTGTTGTACCGGCCCTTGTCCATCCATCAATCAAAGCAGGCCAGCACGAGACAGCTGTCGTCTCGGGTTGGCATCTTTGCATTGTACGACTATTTTGTATAGCGTCATTGCAAAACCGCGTCAGCGCCAGCCGTGTGGCTCTACTGCAGCTAAGCGACGCCACAGCATCAAAAGTGGTTATACTATCATGGGTAAGTGCTATCTGTAAACAAATGTAAATATGGACAGCTGTTAATCATTGGCTCACTGTACGTTAAACGCGTCGTCCTGTGCTAACTTAATTCCCAATTATGCATAATGAAAACCCGTAAATATCGAAGCAACTGCAGTGTAAAGCGCATACTCTGAATGTTAGTCCATCTTTGGGCGAGGTTTTCTTTACATACCCTCCCTGTGAAATCGGGGCAGCGATCTCGGCACGAAATTGCATTTATATACTCGGTAACCACTCAACAAACACACTTGCTAAAATTTCTCGTCTACTATAGTTCACTTTTTACGAGTTGACAAATTGTGCCTGGTAGAGAAGTAGTGGTATAAACTTGTCTAGCGTATAGCGCCAAGAAAATGTTTATTACCAATAATACTTCCCAGGATTTTCATAAGCTTGTAAATTATTTTCTTCTGGACAAGGTTAAAGTACTGGTGTTTCTCTGTGGTAGAGCACTTGCTTGCCACGCCAAAAGCCTCGGTTCAAATCAACCTCGAATGGAATGGATACACTAAGTGGATTCAGAGCGGTGTTAACTAGCAGCCTTGCTCCACGTAGCTGCGATGGACACCAGCTGCGGCAAATAACTACGTTACCAAGGTTAACTGTTGTTTTGAACTCATGACAGCTTACGCTGTAAAAAAAAAAAGAGAGAGAGAGAGAGAGAGAGAGAGAGAGAGAGAGGAGGTGTTCGGGAGGGAATCGAACCTAGGCACTAAATGCGTGTACCAATTATTCGACCACCCGTACTTTTCCGGACGAAACAATACTTTCGACAAGTGTTGTGTTTTGATGATTGATATGTGGGATTTAACATCCCAAAACCACCATATGATTATGAGAGACGCCGTAGAGGGCTCCAAAAATTTCTACCACCTGGGGTTCTTTAACGTGCACCCAAATCTGAGCACACGGGCCTACATTTCCGCCTCCATCAGAAATGCAGCCGCCACAGCCGGGATACGAACCCGCGACCTGCGGGTCAGCAGCCGAGTACCTTAGCCACTAGCCCACCGCGGCGGGGCAAGCGTCGTGTTGGGCAAGGGATCACGTTACAGGAGATGTAAAACTGTCCATCATGAACTTACAGCGCAACAGCAGAAAAATACAGGACAGGGAAGGAGCAAAAAAGAAAGAAAAGATGGCGCTGACTCACAACTGTTGTTTATTGGGAAAAAACGTGGTGAAAAGTATATATATAGGTACTGGCAGCCTACATCACAACATGCGCAGAATACGAGGTGCACCGAGGTAGCGTTGTCACACTCATGGCAATAAACAAGATTGGCCTAAATAACTTAATTCTTTTTCATGCAGTGTGACGGATGGTTCACTAACGCACTTACTACCCCTAAACTTTATATGATATGCCTTCTTTCTCTTTTGCTCCTTCCCTGTCCTGTATTTTTTTCTGGTGTTGCGCTATAAGTAAGTTCACGATGGATCCTAACCAACTGGCCCAACTTACCGTCTTACTATGATGTAAAACTGTGTGGGGCCTAAGAGTAGAAATCGCACCAGGGGTCAAACAATTTCAACTGCATCACGTGTGGTGGATCAAAGCTTTCTACCAACTGCACGGCACTTATATAACCATAATTACTCACCGTCATCAGCCGCAGCGTCAACAAAGTGGGCAGACATATGTAGGTGAGCGTGTTGGGTACACATCGCGCTATATACTTAGCAAAACGAAGAATTATGGCGCGAGGGACACTTATGCCATTAAAATTTCGTTCATGTTGGTGGGCGGAGCTGCGCTTTTTCTGTGCGGAATAAAAAGGGCACCTTTCAACACTAGCTATTTCAACGGCCAGTTTAAGAACAAAATAGGACCCGTATTTCCATGGAGTACAAAAAACTAATTAATAATTATCATCGGCGTTAAACGTCCCAAAACCGCGATGTGATTATGAGGGACGCCGTATAATAGAGTGCCCCTGAAAACACCTGGTGTTTTTGAACGTGCACCTGGGCACACGGGTTTCAAGCATTTTGATCTCCATCGAAAATGCTGCCACGGCTGCCGGGAATCAATCCCGCGACCTACGGGTTAGCAGTCGAGACCGATAACTACTCAGGGGCTTACCTAGAAATGTTTTTTTTTTTCCTTTCGGTGCGGGAGATAAAGGTTCAGCCACACTATGTATATGTCCGCGCGTGCGTTTGTCTATAGGTGCGCGTGTATATATATGCAAGCAAAATTGAAAAGAAAGTTGAAGAAATCTGAGCCCCCCTCCCTTGGCTACGCCCCTGTAATTACTACAGCACCGTGGTGGGCATGTAAAGAAACTCTAAGATGTATGTAGAGGAGTGTGCAACACTGACGACGCAGTTTCCAGTACTAGCAACTACTTTATGTGGCGCAGGGCAGAGCCGAGGAGAGTGCGCCAGGTGGCGTGGTGTGGCGTTGGTGCTGCTGCTAGTGTGCCACGAGGCAGAGTGCGCTGCCACGCGGCGGCGCTACTTCAACTGGCGCGGCTTCCTGAAGTGCATTGACAACCGGTCGTGGATGCTGCTCTCCCTGGACGGAGCCTGCGTTGCACTCATCATGTACGCCACCTACCGCACCATGCTTAACCTGGAGTGCCCAAACTGTGACCTGTGAGTGTTACATGGCCACGAAACGTTTGACTCGTACTACGAAAAGAGTAAAGAGCTCACATTCGAAGGCCACAGCTATCTTCGTCTTAGCCGGTTGTATTGATCGTACTCCTGGTGGCTTCTGTGTGTCACGTAGTGTTGCACTTTAACTCGTAGAAAGCCACTAAAACGTCGAAAAATTGCAACAAGTGAGAGGCAAAAGCAGAGACACTGACACAGATGTGGCTTCTGCACCATCCACTCTCTGCCTTTTTTTGACATTTCAGTTGCTTTCTTCGAGTATGCACCCAACAAGCAACATTCTAGAATCGCACTGCCTCCGTGATCTGTTCGACAGAGCGACATTGTCATGTGATCACGTCATCATGTGCATTCAAGGACCCATAAGGGAAACGTGAACAATGCGTGGAACACGGAGCAACTAACGCCGGTCGCTCCCGAGGGAGAGGCTTTAGGGGTGATTGCCACCTCCCACAAACGTGTGTGTCTAACCCTCTCCCTTCAGTGCCTGTTTTTCACTTCTTATCACTGATTAGGACAAACGAGAACCTCAGTCAGCACTAAATAACAACATTTATGCAGTGATGGGGCTCATGCGGTGATAGTAACAACCAAAAAATGCCCTTACCTCCCCGAAGGGAATCGTGAAAAATGCAAATTCATTTTTTGCGCCGAGAAGGCGTACTGTTTCCGTCAGACATTCTCCTGGCCGACTTCTGCCATCGCATTGAGAGGCGCCCAGCCAGCGAACGGTCGAGAGTGAGGCGCGAGCGGACGGAAGAATCGGGTGCCAGCGTTCTGGGCTCGTCGTTGGCGTTTCACAACGGCGTTTCGAGCACACATTTCTGGATGTCCTTGAGAGGCGCCCAGCCAGTGAACGGTTGAGAGTGAGGAATGAGCCTATGGGAGAGTGGGGCGCAGAGAGGAGAGAGGGAAAGAGCAATCTTCGAGAGAAAGAGCACTCGACCTACCCTTTCCTACACTCTCTCGCAACACATGCTCCGGTTGCTAGGGGCGAAGATAAGAGCTCGCGCGCGGCTATGGCTATAAAAGAGGGAGAGAGAGCGGATAGATAGCACCTGCCGGCGCGCGGACACTACCGCGGACAACGCTGGGTGCTTGATATAGCCCGACTATATGCATTTGCATTGAAAACAAAAGAAACATGCCGGTTTTACTTCAACTGAGCCACCAACCCCCTCTAAATCGAGGGGCTGGATCCGGTCCTCGTCATATGTCATGATGGCGTTCCAAATCTCGGCCATCTGCAATGTTATGATGATGTCGCATCTTCACATCATGAACAAAGTCATGCGATCTTTGTTGGCAATCGTGTTTACGCCGTCGACGGTCACTTTTCCCGTTTGACGAAGCTTATGAAACTTTCGCCTTACTAATTCAAGACGCAGGACGGAAACAGCGTGCTACCGCTAAATGACGCCGGATATAGTGGCTACAACGTAACTAATAAAAATTATGTGCTTGCTACATACTAGTTAACGCCGCGAATGATCTGAACAAAGTTTTGATGCAAATGCTCCACATGCTGGACCCTACGCTCGACCCTGTTTCCCGTGCGAGACGCCGTCAACTCTAGTTACCGCTCCTACTTCAGACGCACTTCTTAAGGAATATTTCTTGAAACATTCGCTAAAAAGCACTAAAGCAACCAGGTTGGTCCCTAGTTGCCATAAGTTGCGCGTAGTTGCGAACGTAGCGCGCGCATTCCTTCAGTGACACTTCATGGGAACGCATCGGTATGAGTGGTAAACAGCAGTCTGACTCATCCACAGCTGCTGCTGGGCGCGCTCGAGTTCCTGCCGCGAAGCGGCGCAGGCGCCAAGCCGATCCTAAACCGTGCAAGCTCGACAGAAACGCCGCTTCTGAAGAGACGAAGGCTCAAGAAATCCACGTCCTTCCTAGCTGCTTCGCTAGCCCATCAAGATTCCCTTGCGGGAAGATGTGTCTAATTTTTAGGGGCGAAGATCCTAAGGCCGAGATTTTGTTTTTCCCTCCTTGCTCGTACATGACTGCCTAGTTTGATGACTCACTCAGCAGGTGCGGAAGGACGGACGGACGGACAGATGGAGTTTATAAAAAAGCGGACAAGCACCACAGGTCAAAAAGAAAACTGGGCGAAGCTTGTCGGAAAAAGAGTTTCACTAACGGGAAAGCATGCAGTGTTTCTAGGATGAGACACAGCTGCAAAGCCTGAAGCTGCACGAAGGGTGTTTCCGCTCGACTGTTTTGTTTTGTTTAAGACTACTGCCGATCTCATTCGGGACCATCGCACTGAGGAGGGACGAGTATTCAAGTGGCACATAAAATAAGTCATAAAAAATAGAACAAAACAAAAACTTAATTATACACTGAAAACTAGATAGGTCAAGGCTACCTCGAGACTGCAGCAATAAATATATACAATACCATCAGCAAAGAGCCACATCAGCTTGAACAGTAAAAAAATGTAAGTATTTCACATGCAACCTCAGCCAATACATTTAAGTATAGTAAGTGTAGCATTACAGTATAATCTTGTAGTCCCATTATTACAATATAATCTCGTATTCCGTTGGACTAAGTGCTGCCTTCTTCATATTTAGTGTACAGGTGGCGAGTATACTGGTATATACTCAATTTTTTGTGGCACATACCTAATCATAATAGACAGTGAACACGCCTGACGCCATTAGACGCCGACAAGCAGATACCCCTTGATAAGTGGTGTACGAATGTATACTAGACAACTTTCCGTTTTTTTTTTTTTTGGCCTAGAATGTGCTTTGACGCACCTCGATTTAAATTTCGTCACCTTCTTCTGACGGGAAGCTCCGGTTTTGGAGTGTCTTTTTTTCCCTTCGCTTGGAGCAACGTCCGTGTCTATGTCACCATTAAAATTCAATTATGAATATTTCAAATTGCACGCAACATTTGCACTGTAAAATATCGGTACGCCATTAATGGTCACGGGCTGCAAATATGCAACATAAAAACTGCTCCCAGGTAAATCATTTGAAATGTAATAAAGGAGCTCTGGTTATTTAGTCACATCAATTCCTGGATGCAGAGCTTGCGTGTGAAAATACACGAGCCTGAATGTCGGATCAGATTTTTATTTGATAGAACTGCACTGTCACGGCCACTGGTACTGAAAAATAAAAAAAGGGCGCCCTGCACGGGCTACGTATACCATCACGCTATGTATAAGCTACACACCACGCGATCCCGTGGTCCGGCGCACCGAAAGATTGTACGTACACTGACTGCGATCGTGGCGTGGATTCAAGTTATCGGAGAGAGTCTGGCTGTTCGTATGAATCATACTCCCAACGCTTCCTTTCAGCCTCGGCTTCGTCTTTTTTTTTTTTTTTGAGGAACCTTTCACCATTTGTCTAGCTTATTTTTTATTGAGCAGAAATTCTAAGCCACGAAGGCAGTTATTTTGGAAGCTGATATTACGACAGGGCGAAACGGGGGCGAGTGTTTATGCGAGCGGAGGCGATGCGCAGTCGCAGCCAAAACTTTCCTTGCTAACTTGAGGACACGTCACAATCGGCGCGCCGGTAAAACCACGCACTGCGGTGTAGCTCGTATACTGAGCGTGCCTGACTAATCACTTGGACTTCTACACATGCAGCTACTTCCACTGCCGCGCAAACTACAACGCACTGCGCTGGTGCCGCAAGACGAAGCGGTCGAAGGAGATGAACGCCCTGATTGGCGGCTGCCAGAACTTATCGAAGCCGGGCAGGACGCCCGAACAGAAGGCCGCCGAGGAGAGAGCCCGCCAGGACGGCAGGGAGCAGAAGAACTGCGCCAGCATGTACCTCTCCAAGGCGGGCTGCTCGTACGATCCCGACACGCGCAAGTGCATGGCTTTGCGGAAGGTTTAACTGGCGACTTACTCCTTGTTTGTAAAAAGAATGAAGCGCTTGTAGCGACGTCGGGGCGAGTGGGCTCCTCCCAGCCAAAAGCTCACCACCACACAACCACACTCTATTATCACGTGACAACTAGCGCTGCAGCTGCTGCGCCAGTTGTCATAGAGGGCACGTGGAAGACTCTCCGAAGCGCTGCGCCAGTTGTCACGTGATAATAAAGGGCGAGCTTCGGGCTGGGCAGAGCCTATGCATCGCTACAAACGCCTCAGTACGTCGACGGCGCCTACCGCTGTTTACGAACATGCAATAGGTCTATAGCTAGACGTGATTTTATGTCCACTGTGGGTACTGACTATGGTTTAGAGAATAATAATATGGTGGTGCAACAAAAAACAACACGGCAGTGAAATAAGAATACGCGGCAGCACCGACAGCACCCTCAATACGCACGAATTACCGTTAATCGACGAGAACAAGTGATATTTACCAGGTCATACAGTCACATTGCTAGGCGCGAAGAGAACGCACACTTGCCAATAATAAAGTTCAACTATTTCTGTGTGAGCGTCTAATAAAGTTACGCCTAATAATGCATGCTGCGTAGTCCTTAACATCGTCCGGAGTTTCTTTGTAATCCTTTAAGTTTCCCCTCCACACGTCGTGTGCAATTTTGATTTAAGGGCAGACATAAACTGCCACTCATTCTTTCGAAATGCCTGGCGCGCGTGCTAAAGCCTGTCCTTGTTTCTCGGTGAATCAAGCAGCACTTTGCTCTTAGCAAGCTGTTGCTGATTCTTCTAGCCGCCCGTCCTATACCTGCTATGTTATTTGTCAAATATATCTTAGCGCTTTTCCACACCGCTACAGCGAATCAAACGAACTGCTCACCCTGGACTAGCGAGAGACTCCGCACAGAACAGCACGCGCTGGTGACAACAGCCACGAACGCCAATCTCTGGAAGCCTCACATTTCAACCGAGCCACAGACTATACTCCCGCAAGCACATAATGTTACATGCCTACTTTTCAAATTCATCTTTGCAGGCAGGAGACGAAAGAAAGACTTTTTTTATCCCCTGTATTCGTAGCAGCCGTCGCAACCTAGCGCACACCGCCACCTCCGCATTTGTTTTAAGTGCGAAGCGCTCAAAGCTCGACGTAAAATGTCGGATGTCCGCGAAAAACTTTTCGCACCGTCGCTTATCAGCCGCGCCTATCGACGGAGACGGTCTGCGCAGCCATCGCGCCAAGTTTGCCCACCGCGCGAGACGAGTGCGAGAAGATGAAAGGTCCACGCTTCAAACGGAGGCTGTCGGCAGGGGGTGCACAAGTGGCCCCCTCAAGCCTCACCTGTCCTCACTGAAGCTACACCAGCGCTCCATCAGGAGCCATGCGCTCTGGCTTGCACCTCCCAAGAGGAAACCCTGCCGACAGCCATGAACGGGGGTTCCACTTGCACTATTAGTGCTGGCGCTGGAGTGGGGACATTTTTACATAGTCTGTGACAGGTTGTGGTTCGACTTTGCTTAGTCTACGCCAAGGAAGTAGGCCACGTTAAACCCCTCGTGTCACCCAGATTTTACCCGGACTCTGTAAAATTTTCCCTTTTTTTAACGTGATAGCGTTTAAGACCTCGTTTTGAAAAATTCCGGTAGGCGTCATGAATTGTGAGTGAAAAATCATGCGTTCGTCCGGGCGAGACAAAAAAGTCCTGTAAGTCTGCTCGTTCTCGACGAATTTCAGCAGATTATCAGGGAAGTAAATTCGTGCGAAATTAACAACAATAGAGCCCTGCAAGTACAATTTATCCATCTAAAATAACGCAGTGTTTCTCTGAGTGTGCGTTTAAAGTAAGACAATCTGAACTGCACCGTAGCAAAACGTCATCAACAACGTCGTACACAAGCATACTCCATAAGAACTGAGGTACATAGCGATTTGGCATAGCTGACCTGGATACAGTGAGTGCCGCCCATTACACGACCGACTGTTCGCCAGATAGCCAATTCCACGAGACATTACTGAGGCAGAATAGAGAAACGTGTATAACGCACCATGTTGTCGATCTTGACAATTTCAGTGTAAGAAGGCGGCCTCTCCAAGCCCTCGAACTCAGCGGGGACCGTGTACACATCTGCGGACAGCTCTCGCATCCTCTCTGCAAGCTCCCTGGAACGCTCGCACGTCCTGCGCGCGAGACGGGATCGTGATTCATGAGTTTGATACCAGGAGTTGTCAACCTGCGCGGCCCACGAGGCAGTACTGAGGCGCACTGCTCGACGTCATAACTTCCTCTCGCCTTCCTACCGACATGACAGTTTTAACCTAAAATGGCATTCGATAGGAACAAAGAAAGACTGCTTGTCTCCGATCTTCACACTTAGCCATCTAGATAACACCTTACGATTATATAAATTATAACGAATATTTATAATAGGCCTATTCTTACAGATTACAATTACTGTTTTCTATGATAAGTATATCTGTTGATTATAAGTAACCATGCATTTGTCAATTCACCGAATGCATTCTCTTCGGCTGTAAACAATCCTGCTTTTTTTTTCATCCCCTTCCCCCTCGTTGCCGACAAGCAACTTCGCCAGAAAGGGTTGCTGATCCGAATAACGCATACTATCCCGACAGCGACCCTGAACAGACAGCGCGCAGTACACATCTGATCCTGAGGAAGTAAATGAGCGATTGGTATGCCAAAGTAAAAAGGTTATTGAAAGAATTCAAAGCTATGTTGGACAAAACAAAATTAGGAAGACCTTATTGTGTGGATCTGGGGCGCGCCCGCGACCATTGCCACTCCCTTTCCTTCTCCCGCACTCTTGTGACGACGCTTGGCAATAGATGGAGCGCCGCGCGGGCGCGGTGCGTTGATGATGAAAACATTTTAGAATGAAAACTCGAGGAAAACGGGAAGGGTCTCTATTCCAGGACTCCTATGGTAACCTCTGCGCCACCCCAGGCCATGGGAATGAGGGCCCGACAGACCTCGGCGGCACCGTCACTAAGTGTGCCTTCCCATTGCTCTGGGGTACGGGTGGACCAAAGGAGAGAGGGGAGGGAATTAAGAAGCACAGCACTCAACGGTGAAAAGTTGTGGGGATAGTGCCACAGCCTGTACGGGCATCAGTATAACGAGTCGGGCATATTTTATTCATGAAGTGGAGGTTCGGAAAAGTTCGGGTCTGCAGTTGGCGAAGTGTGACAGCCTCCTCGCGTGTGAAGGAGTCTGGTTGGAGTTGGTATTGCGGTCTTTGGCGTATGTAATGTTGTGTGACTCCGTGATATGTGAGAAGTGAAGAACCTGGCTCTGCATTGGCCGCCACTGCGCGGGGCCGCTCGGAGGGTGAGTTCTCGAGCAGTGGCATGAGCGCGTTCATTATCCGACAGTGAGGCATGACCAGGAGTCCTGAGCAGGTGTATGATTCGGCTGTTGTGTGAAGCAATTTTGGATGTGCGTAAGAGAATAGAATGGGAGCTTTTGGGAATCCTGCGACCTGTTAGAAAAGTCCGACATGTCACTGGCGAATCGGTTAGTATGTAGTATGTTTCTGCGGGGAGGCACAAGGTGTGTTGTACCGCCAAGGTAACCGCCAGGATCTCGCCCGAATTTGTAGATGGGGAAGATATTGAGGCCGCACTTACGATCTCATGAGTGCCGCTAACGACCACCGCTGTATGTCATTTGTCGTGCGAGCCGCGTCCGTTTAGTAGACCCTATTCTCCTCAACGTCACTGAGAGTGCGATTCAGGTATCTCACCCGAGCCCGCCGACGGACGATTGATGTTACAGGGTGCATGTTGCGTGGCAGAGGATGTACGCGAGGCGCTTGAGCTATTTCGAGTGGCACGGAAGTACCCTGCGTTTCCGGAGGTTCAGTGGGGACTGGATGACCCAGGTTGTAGAGTACCTGTCTACCTGTTGGTGTGAGAAGAAGGCGTTGGCGCTGACTAATTCACTGGGCCTCGAGTACTTCAGTGAGGGTATTGTGCACTCCTAGTGACAAAAGGCGCTGCGTGTGTATAGTGCAGAACGCCCAGAGCGACCTTGATGGTCTTACGGATGAGTGTGTCCACCTGTTGATGTTGTCCCTGCGTCAGCCGGTGAAATGGAAGGTGATAACTGAAGCGGCTTATTATGCACAAATCCACTAGTCGAAGCATGTCCCGCTCCCCAAGTCCCTACCGTCTATTACTTACGCGTTGAAACATGGCGTGGATCTGCTCCATCTGGCGGGAGAGCATGGAGATGGTGTGTCTTGCCCTGCCATCTGCTTCAACGTAAAGTCCAAGGATGCGTGATCGCTCTACCTGCGGGATAGGTGTTCCTTTGACGAGAACATTGATGTGGGTTGGCGGATTTTTACGGTGGCCGCGAAAGACAAGGAGCTCAGATTTGTTTGGAGCACAAGTGAGGCCACCCCGTCGAGCATAGTCTGACACGACCTCTACCGCTCTTTGAAGCAGGTCTTGAATTTCGCCGTCGGAACACCAAAACGTCCACAACTTGATATCATCGGCATAGATGGCATGGTGCAGGTCCTCAATTTGGTCAAGTTGTTTAGAGCGACCTGGCATAGCGATATTAAATATTGCTGGTCAAATCACAGCTCCCTCAGGGGTTCCTCTGTCTGGGAGGTGGATGATGCTCGAGCGATGCAGGCCTATAATAATTGTTGCCGTGCAATCACGAAGAAAGGCTCTGACATAGTTATAAACGCGAACGCCGCAGCGCGATTCGGCGAGGTTGCTGAGAATAAGGTCGTGCTCCGCATTGTCAAAGGCCGACTTACTCCAGTGCAAGCAAAGCGCGGGTTTGGACACCCCGCGATGGACCCAGGAGCTGCACTTTCAACTGGAGCAACACATGTTGAGTAGATAAGTGCGAGTGAAAGCCGAACTGCGTATGCGAGAAGAAAGACTGGCTCTAGAGAAATGGCGCTGCAAGCGCCGCAGGACATCATGTTCCATGAGCTTGCCTATACATGACGTAAGGGAAATCGGTCGTAAATTTGCGACGCAGATGGGTTTCCCCGGTTTTGCGATGAGGGAAATTTCCGCATGTCGCCATGCTTGGGGTAGCGTGCCGTTCCGCCAATGCTCGTTAAACGTGTCCACCAGGCGCATAAGATCTGCGTCGTTGAGATTTCGAAGAGTCGTGTACCGGACGTGGTCAGTACCGGGCGCTGAATTCTTGCGGATACCTTCTAACACGGAGCGGACCTTTTGAATTGTGATTTCAGCATCTAGGGCACTGGGCGAATCTGTATCATATTGGTACGTGTGATACTGGGGACTCACTCCAAAAGGGATATAACGTGCTTTTAATTCATGCAGGAGACGGTCAGGAGAGTCTCTAAACGAATGAGTGAGGGCATGCAACCGTTTTTGAGTCTGCGTCTTCGTGGCCGATCGGTCTATAAGTTCTCGGAGAATGTTCCATATCTTAGCAGTACTCAGGCTGCCGGCAAAACGATTACAAAATCCCCTCCAATTGTTTTCCGTGAGAGTCTGGACGTATTCCTGGGCTTGTCACGTGATACGCGCTATCCAAAGTTTCAGTTTACGATTTAGGCGCTGACGCTCCCAACGCTTTGCCAGTCCCCTTCTAGCGCCCCACAAGTGGAGCAGGTGCAGGTCGACGTCGGGATTGATGGGCGTAGTGGTGATCGACTGCGTGGTGGCATCGAGGTCAGCCGTGAGGGCCGCGAGCCCGTCGTCGTAGCCATCCACGCGGTGCGTGTTCTTGAGGTTGCACAGGGCTGCAAGAGTCGACGAGACCGAGTCACGTGCGTGCTCTGCTCTGCCTCCTTGGCCGGCGCTCGGTGAGCACGTGTTTTCCTTCGTCCGCGTCCCCTTTGGCCTCAGGCATCTAGGCATCCTCGGCGGGCGTGTTTTAGTGCTAGCTCTGGTTCCGTATGCAGCGGTGCCTAGTGCTTGACGTAGTCGTACTACAGCAAGCCGCACTTGCCGGAGGCTCACCGTACGAGGTTTTCTCTAACTACAGTGCTCTACCCTAACTCTCCTGACCAGTCCAGTGGCCATCGTGAGAGTGCGCAGCATAGCCGCGAGGGACCTTTTACCGCCCGGCATGTCAAAGGCGCTGCACCGTGATCCCTACCGGGGCTGCAGAAATCAAGCACCTTCTTTCTCTTCCAACCACTACCACCACCAACACGTCAAAGCTCGCCATTGCCAACTGCGACGCTCTCGCGGTCTCCCCTTTTTGGTGAACGTCCGCATGTGGGAGCTTTTGCTGCCCGCGTCCCGGACGTTACAATGTGTTAGGGGTGCCGCCAAAGGCCATAAAGTGTTCGTGGGTAATTGTTAAGATCGAGCACCGCCTTGCCGCGCCAAGCTAAACGCTAGGCTAGATGAGCGCGCGCAGGACAGTGCGCAAGCCGTGAGCAGGCGACGGAGACGCGGTCTTGTGACTCGCTAAGCCCGAACCCACGGTGATCTTTCGTTACGGTGAGTAGCGAGGTCATCACAATTGTCAGGTTCATTACTTGAAACGGGTTCATAGAAGTGCTTTGCACGCAACACACGGGGACAAAGAAAGGAGACACGCCAGGCGCTTGTTTGCGTGTCTCCGTTATTCGTGTGTTCCTCGCAAAGTACTTCCATGAATAAGTTCCAACTAGGCCAGCTTGCAGTTTTGCTTCTGAAAGGCTTATAGGGTCCGGAACACTCTAAGAGGTCTGTATTTTTTTAATCCGCCATGAAAGTCAATGTCAGGTCCAGTTAAATTTTGTTTACAACAAGCGTGCAGTGTTGCAACGGTTATAAAAAAAATAGTCGTTCATTCGGTCACGTACAACTTTCTAACGGGGTTAGGCAGCGCAAGAAGCCAGATATTGAGAAACCTCTGAATATTTTGTTATAGCACATTTTGTGATTATTCAATATTGCGCATTTCATTCACGCGCCTCGCTCTCGTGCATTTTTTTTATTTTCATTCTTTACGCTGATTTGGTTCCGTTTGTTGCATTTTCGTCTTTGTCAGGCATCAGCGAAGCGCAACGAGTATGTACCAACGCATGCATGCCATCAATGAAATGAAGTCAAAACATGGAAGAGCCAGTGGGGAAACACAAGACACGGTTAAAAGACAACGACGGTACAGGCTGACACTTACAACTGATTTATTCGAATACCAGAAAAGTTATGCGTCGTAATACGCTGCAGAATCTTTTTACTACCATGGCGTTTAGAAAACTCGTCTCTTCAATTTAAGGAGAGCGCTCTCAAAATTTTTCTTTGTGTCTTCGTGCTCCGCCGACCCAAAATACTAGTGTTGCTCAAACACAGAGTGCACCCGCAGTATACCAGCAATGGCTTGGCAGGTGAGAACTGTCATTCGCAGGTGTAGAGGCCTTGTATTTCCTGGGGCTGTCATCAAGACAACGTCTTACACAAATTATGTTTTGACATTCGTACCTTGCGTTGCACATGTAATTGGTCGCATCTATTTAAACGTTATTTGAACGGTGTCGAAAAAATGTTCCATGACTTCTGGAAGGACACGCTTCACTTTTGCGATGTACAGATTCCTATGACGGAGGGATCTACCCTGTGTTACTTAAGTAATGCGTGAAAGGAGTAAATGAAATTGTAAACTCACCTCTTGACAACGCAAGCGACGAATACCGAAAACACAACAACCATGAAGACAGCAGCCACAACGAGAGTCACCTGGTAGATGCCAACGTTGTCCGCCGGGCCACCTGCATGCGCAGCACACACTGCATCACAAGGGTCAACGCACTGATGGCAAACTCCAGTGTGCTGTAAGCATTTCTTGACCTATTTTAGGAAATGGGCTCCACAGATCACTTCCTAAGAGCAGCCATAAGTGAATTCCCTATTCCTGCTCCACTTTTGTTATCTTACAAACACAGCTCGTTAATCCGAATGCAGTTAAATATAGCTTACAGTTAATTCAAACTGCCGCCCCGGTCCATGGTACAGCCCTGTATATTTCTATCGGCGAAAACTCCCAATGATTCGAACGCGTCGGTATCCACAACAGTTCATTTGAACCAGAAGCCCCTGCTTTTTATCGCTCATCGCAGAAGTCGGCCCAGAGTGATTACAATGTGTTCAAAACCAAACTAAATTTATCAGATATGTAAAATAAAAACAGCATATTTCAGCAGATAAGAATTGGGTGCTGCGCTGGAGCTCTTGAGCAAAGCAGCAAATAATCTTCATGGAGTCGCGATAAAAGAAACGCAAGCAAACGCAAGTTACTGATTTCTTTCCATTCTAATTGCGTTAACTCTGCCATGCAAATAAGCGTGTTTTAGAGCATAAATAGCGTTATATATTTTAAGGTTCATTACTCGCATGAGTGCATGTTGTAGCTTGTTCCTTGCGTATCACTTATAAATCAATCAATGCTGTGCACAGCTACATGATCCTAATGTACTTATTTATTTGTTTATTTATTTATTTATTTAGTGATTTATTTATTTATTCATCTAGATACCTACAGCGCCCTGGGGCATTATTTTAGGGGGGGGGGGGACAGAAAAATATTGCATTACAGTTGGTGTACAACATCAAGAGCTAACATAACAAGATCAGCAACGTGTTAAGATTAGAGATGACGTTACGCATGTACGTTCTTAACAGATCACTCGAAAAAGATATCGCGTCAAACGTAAAACAGTACATTGCCAAAAAACTACAAAAAAGTAAGAAGGATTTAAAAAGAACATAGGAGGAGGCGGTGCAGAGCATGTTTTGAGGTAGTTAAAGGAGTACTGACGCATCTAACTGTAAATATTATAAGGCTTATTGCTCTAAATAAAAACAAGGGTGTCAAGAATCCTAAAAAAGTGTCTTTGTAGTTGGGAATGCATTGAATATATTTTAACACCACCTCCCTATTAAGAAGGGATCACGGCTTAAAGTTAATCTAGAGCAGCTTCCGCTATGTTTGCAATTTTTGACACTGTGTGCGCATTCAATCATGTTTAAATGAAGCTCCACAATGCCGAATCTGCATGTGCACAAAATCATGGTCCCTTAATGATGAAGAAAACACAGCGCCCCAACGTTCCGGTTGTCTGCGAACGTCGTTTCCGCTCTTTCGTGCTCGTGGCGCACCGCGGACCGTCCCAATTAACCGAGTTGCGATCAAATGCAACCGAATTAACGCGAGTCATTAACCAATGCATGTTGTAGACGAGATCAGGAGATGCCTAGATGAGTCATTCGATTTGCTGAATTAATTAACAAGGGTCGAATTAACGAACTCTTGCTGTATCGGGGTTACATGCCGTATTTCACCCAAATACCCGTCCATGATGATGACAGTTTTCGGGCATGATCACACATTCCACACGCCGAGCTAGAACAGCTTGGCTGTTGAAACTTTACGAGCCTGTGTCTCAAACATTCGGATTCTGTTTGCAAATGACACCGAGTGAGACGACCTGATGCCTTTCACACTATCACGTGGCTCCCGGCGCACATGGAAATCAATGGGCTACATCCCAGCAAGCCTAACCCGAATGAACTACTTGATGACCAAGCGCGAGGATGGTCCCGATACGCTTGACAACCCGGCTTGGGAGCGTAACTCCGACCTATTTCTCTCTTCGAAGCACTGTCAGCTTGGGCGTACGAAATTCCCACTCCCACATCCAAAGATGACCAGACCTCAATCTTCCACCTTGAGAATGTTACAAACGGGATCTTTTTCGCCGAGAAGAAGGTTTAGTCGCTTTGCTCCGGACACCAATCCACACTGCCCTGAGTGTCATGTCATGGCAATATTCGGCGTTACAAAATGCCTCTTTTAATAAACAGGAGAACTGGGAGGAAGCTCTAAAAAGCGACGATCTTCATGAACAACTAAGGGCTGTTCAAAATGCCCGCGAACCATAATCTTCCGGACCCAACGTTGGTTCGGCTCGCAACTACGACTCTGTAGTTCATTAAGACCCATTTAAAGTTTGTTGACTGAACGACTTTTTTAGAGGGCACGGCACATGGCATGCAGGCAACATGTCTAAGTCGGAATTGCTGTTTATGAAGGCATTTTCGTGGATTATGGGAGCGGCAACTGCGAGCGGAACATTCTGGCTACCTTCTCATGAGTCTCATCAGGAAACTGTGAGGTGGGTGGATCACCCATCATCGATGTCAGCTAGCGGCACAAATCGGGTGCCTTTCGACGGCACTTATAAGGACCCAGTGAGCAACGCCTGGATGGCTTGTCTATCATCAGTGACGTTATCAACACCTCACCTAGAAAAGGAGCAGCGCAATCAAGGAACCCTCAGAGGGCACGGCACACGGCCTGCAGGCAACATGTCTAAGTCAGCATTGCAGTTTATGCAGGTTCGTTACCTCTCAATACCGCATGTTATCATAGCGACAATCGATTTTTGTAAGTATTGCCGTGCCCTCACAATTGTATTGCTTGTGTCATTGATTGCTGGTCTGCAGTGTTGATGCTTTTAAAGTCTGGTGAAAACCCGGGGCAGAAGACAGCTGAGATGTTAGAGCAAATCTTAGAAAAACAGACAGCATTCGAAACTAAAATAGATGGTATGAGGGAAGATATATTCGATATCAGTATTAAAACTGAAAATTTCATGGACTCTCTGAAAGTTATTGAAGAAATGAGGGAGCGAATTAGCAGTCTGGAAATGATAGTTCGGCAACAAGAACAGAAACTAACTGATTACGAAAACGGGAGTAGACGTAATAATCTACTCGTTTTCGGCCTATCTGAAGATTCTGGTGAAACCGAGTCAGAGCTGACGGAAGCTGTTGTTCATAAACTTTTTCATGTGACATTGGGCAATAACGTCATTTCCGTTGACCGAATTCGCTGGCTCGGCAAGCGAAAATCTAACAGCTCAAGACGAGTCACCATGAATTTGTACAATCACCATGAAAAGGAACACGTGTTAAAAGATTGGAAAGTTAAAAGGGACAACCATTAGTGTTAGCAATGAATACGCGAAGGAAACTTTTTACGCGAGGAAAATGTTAAGGCAAAGCTGCGAAACCAAAAGAGCGAAGGGAGTAAAACTGAAGCTGATTCATGACAAGCTGCAAGTGAACGGTGAGCTCTATCAGTGGGATCAGAAACGAAACATTCGTAGTCGATGCAAGCAACGAAAAAATAAAAAGGAACGTAACCACGACTCTGCAACGTCCGCTCGTCGTTAACTAGAGTTTGCCAGAATCGACAGATGCAAGTGGCATAAAATCATCTGGCACGGCGCGTAGCTAAGACTTCTTTCACTGAATGCACGAAGTATTATGAATAAAGCAACCGATTTAGAATTCTTGTTGATTAGATACAGCCCCCATGTTGCAGTCTTAACTGAGACCTCAAGATTTGCGTAGAGAAATTGTACCAATTTTTAAATGCGGTGATAGAACAACCCTGAACAATTACAGGCCTGTCTCACTTACATCAGTGTGTTGCAAATTATTTCAACATATAGTGGCAAAAAATATTCGGCAGTTTTTAGAACAAAATGAATTACTATGTCCCTTTCAGCATAGATTTCGCAGTGGCCTTTCAACTGTCCCACAACTGATCGAAACTATTCATGACTCGTGTATTGCTGTAGATGCCTGTATGCAAATTGATGTTGTATGTATAGATTTTTAAAAGGCGTTCGACAGAGTTTCGCACCGTGAACTGCTGTTCAAGCTTTGCAATGTAGGTATCAGTGCGAATCTTCTCAATTGGATCGGAGCTTATCTGGGCAATCAACAACAAGCAGTTAGATTGGGAGATGCTATTTCGGAAAATCAGGAGATGTATTCGGGAGTGCCTCAGGGCCCCTACTCTTCCTGTTATACATAAATGATATTTTAGCAGTTGTCCAACCACCAGTAAAAATTAGGCTATTCGCAGATGGCTGCCCAATCTATTGTCCGGTATCATTAAGAGAAGATGAACTTAAAAACAAACAGTGCTTACAAACCTTAAACTTATGGTGTTCTAAATGGGGTATAGAAATTAACATTAAGAAATCCACTTACACACACATTACAAAAAAGAAGGAAGTGCTTCCATTTGCGTATAGCATTGGTGATAATATGCTGGTTAAAGTATGTAGTTTTAAATATTTGGGTATAACTATAACAGATAAATTGAACTGGCGCACTTATATCTAAAACATTTTTCAGTCAGCATAACGAAAGTTGTGCTTCCTACGAAGGAAATTAGGCTGAACCACGAACGATATCAAGCTGCTTGCCTACAAAACGTGTGCCCATTCGAAGTTGGAATACGCTACCGCCGTGTGGAGTCCACATCAAATGGTTTTAAAAAATAAACTAGAACGCATTCAGAAAATCTAAGCTCGCTTCATCTGCTCGAAATATCGAGGAAGGGATTCTGTAACTGACAATATAAAAGGTATGTAAATTATAAACGCTAGAGTTAAGAAGGCGGAAACAGAGATTGAAAATGCTTTTCCAGATTTTACATGCAGGGGTGAAAATAAACAAGGATTATTATTTCACGTGATCTTACAAGAGGTTTCCAAAACAACACGCAGTACATTCATACAACCAATACGCGTTCGAACAAATGTATTCCAATTTTCTTTTTTCTCTGATTCTATTAAAATGTGGAATGTATCACGGAATGATGTGGTGTAAAAAGTATTTTGAGTGAATTTGAGGTTGCTCTTGACGGGCATTTTGTTGAAAATGTACAGATTATTAGTGTTCATGAATAATTGTCTCCCTATAAATGTTTCATATGTCATAAATATTATGTTGGAAATGTTATGAGTGAAAAGCATGTAACTAGGTGTCTTATACAAGTGTGCTATATCTTACAGAATTCACCTTACAAATGCTCCCTAAATATTTATGTAATCTTGTGCACCCTCCCTGTAATGACCCTCATGTGAGGGTTAATGGTATGACTGAATAAAATAAAACGGGTTGCTGTAAAGAGGTTGAGATAGAGGGCACTACAGCTGTCCCCAAAACTATGGTGTGAGCATACTTTGGATAACTCGGTACTCACCCATGTACCTGCAATAATGGTCACTGTATCTGTATCCTCCAGGGCACACACACAGCTGCAAGGTGAAGTTGCATATGGCGTTGTAGTCGGAGCAGTTGCCGTGGTGAGTGCAAGGAGAGTACACACCTGGAGAAAGTTTATCGATAAGTGCACAGCACCGTGGACGGTTCGTTACACGATTATGATTCATAGGCGTATTAGCCAGGGGGGGGGGGGGGGGGGCAAGCATTCCTCTCCGAGAAAAGTTAGAAGGGGGGTTACTGAGCCCCCCACTTTCGACTTTAGTCACTGTCAGCTGCACGCTGGAGAAAAAAAAACAAATAAGGCAAAATTTTTCTTCACCCTGCAATCCTTCACCACTGTAATCACTCATTTATATTGTTACGAGAAAGAGAAAGTATTACGAGGCAAAGGTACAATGTAGTGATGACTTTCCAACATATTAGCAGTGAGGATTTTCCTTGAAGGCTCTTTGCGACGCTTTCCGCCCTGTGCTGTAACACTGCAGAGCAGGCTAGCACTGAACAGGGGCCCTATATATTGCATCACTTGTTTTTATTCTGCTGTAACTGACCAATGCAGTTATGGATGGGAAAGAACAAACTTTTTATAGACTGGTCAAGAATTTGTTGCTTCAGGAAAATCATTTTCTTTCATCAAAAATAATACCATCCCCGCTTCTCTGTCGAAGCTGCTGTGAGCATATAACTGCGACAAATCTTTATAAATATTTTAGTTTTTCCGTACTGTAAGCGCCAAGAAAGGTTTCCGGTTTAATATCCCATAAATCTGATCAGCCCTGCTTATGGCAACTTGGAGCGATTGAGGCAGCTTGCAAAGCGGCGACGAATAAAGCAGTGGACTCGAGCTCAGTGGGAAGCTAATATAGGTAGATATAAATGCTCAAAATATTTTTAATTCCTCAAGGAATGCTTCAGATTAAAAACTGAGATATTTGTGAGCTGATTTAGTCATTAAAATTTTTATTCAATGATAAAATATTTTCTGTTGAGGAGGCCGCAATCAACATAATTGTATTCACGCGGAAAGTTGTGAGGTAATGCGTCAAAAGCGTCACATGTACATACATCATGCATGACAAACATATACGTGTTGTCCCAATGCATGCTGCTTAAACTGACTGTCTTTTTTTTACGCTATTCAACAAGTGCTGTGCCCTCAAGTCAGCCCTTAAGTATCCACTTATTTCCCTTGTTCATTAATGAGGTTCTCGTACTGGCAGCCGCCGTGATAGCTCAGTGGTTAGAGAATCTAACACGTTATTGGAAGGTCGTAGGTTTGATTCCTGCTCACGACAAGTTACTTTTTCACCCACTTTTATTTCTTCTTATTTACATTACATTGGTTCTACTAATAACTTCCCCTATACATTCTTTGGCATTATTGTCTGTTAGATCTCATTAATATTGTGTCAAAACACGGAAAAATGCGCCCTTAGGTATAGACTTCTTCATATTTTTCATATATATATATATATATATATATATATATATATATATATATATATATATATATATATATATATATATATTGTAGCATTGTAGCGAAGCCTCCGAACTATGAAATGGGTCGAACTCTTGAGTACCTTCTAGTGGGGCTACCCAACAAGGACGCCGCTCGCGTGAGAGCCCGTGTTTGGCCGTTACTGTCGCCATTGTGCTTGCTCGCTGTGGGCCGGCTAATAAACGCCTTAACATTTTGGTGGAGAGTGCTGTGCCCTTCAAACATCTTCGGTTCACATTCGATGCCCTTGGAGCTTAGATCCCGTACCGTGCCTTCAACCATGCAACCTGGTTTTCTACCTCGCGGGTGTGGCCGGCATGTGGTATAACAACCACGCGTCTGATTTCGCAACCTGGTCCGATTTTAAGACCGCTATCACCAACGTTTTTGGCCGCCCTGCCGTTCGTAAGCTGCAAGCCGAGCAGCGCTTACGCGAACGCGCTCAGCAGGCCGGTGAATCATTCACCAGTTACATTGAAGACGTCCTGGACCTATGCAAGAAATCCAACGACAGCATGTCCGAATCAGACAAGATCCGGAACGTCATGAAGGGCATTGCCGATGATGCCTTCACGATGCTGCTTGCCAAAAACCCAGGCACAGTAGCTGAGGTCATCACGCTGTGCCAGAGCTACGAGGAGCTCCGCCGGCAGCGTTCGATGACCCGTCGCTCCACACCACGAGATGCAGGGCTTGCAGGCTTGGAGGCGAGCTGTGACCAGGTGGCACTGCTGGCAGACCTCAAGTCCTTCATACGTGAGGAAATCGCACGGCAGTTCTCTCTCCTGCCCTTTGCCCACCCACCGGCTGCTCAACAATCGGCCACTACCATTTTCCCCCCCATCCGCCGAGCGATTGAGCAGGAAATAGCGGAGGTCATGCCTGCGTACCACCCACAACAGCTTCCGGCTCCTGTACCCCCAAGTTACGCTCAAGTGGTCGCCAGGCCGCCTCCAGTCGTTCAAGCGCCCGCCCCACTGACTTACGCCGAAGCTGCCGCACGACCTCCATCCTTTGAAGCGGGTATGCCGGCTACGTATGTTGACGTGACCTCTCAGACTCAGCTCCAGCACCCCCTGCAGCCTTTCCAGCCACCGTTCCGTCCATCGGCTCTTGCGTCATGGACAAGACCTACCCCGGCGAACCGATGGCGCACATCCGACAACCGGCCCATTTGCTTTGCCTGCGGTTACGCCGGCCACGTAGCACGTTATTGCACTCGCGTACAGACGCCCCATATCTCGTCGCCTGTTGCTGGCCAGATCAGGCGTACCTATCACGAGGAAACGCCGTCTATGCCACCGCCAACTCGCCTAGCTTCATCTTCTCGTAGGTCACCGTCTCCACGACGTCGTTCCCCGTCCCCCATGCGGCCAAGTTCAGCTGCTCACGAGCGGGAAAACTAGTCGTCGCAGTCCCCGAGGCAAGGACTGCGATGCTATCGCATTGTGAAAGCCCTCAGAGCCGCCCATCTAATGTCATTGACGTGCTTGTGGACGGTATTCACGCATCTGCTCTTATTGACACAGGAGCTGCAGTATCCGTTATGGACGAAAAATTTTGCCGCTTGCTTCGTAAAGTGACGACGCCAATTTCTGGATTGTCCCTTCGAACCACCGGTTTGCATCGTATCCATCCTACAGCATCCTACTAAGATGGCGGCGGGGCAACTCCGGAAAACCGGCGCATGCGCTGATCGGCTGGTGGGATCGGTGTATTCATCATCATTCCCGCATGCTCTCATGACGTCATCCTGGGGTGGGATTTTCTCTCCCGCAACGACGCCGTCATCCATTGTGCCGCCGCCGTAATTGAACTCTCCCCCTTCTCGCATTTGACGCCGGAAGACAGTTCTTCGAAAGTGAGCAAGATTCTCGTGAAGGACGATACCATAGTGCCTCCAAGCTCCACGATGGGTGTATCTGTCTACTGCGCTGGACTCTCCGACACAATTGCACTCGTTTCGCCATCCGACCGTGCTTGCCGAAGGAAAGGGTTGCTAGTACCTTTCGCGACCGTGCAAATCACCCAGGGCAACGCCTCTATTTTCGTGACCAACCCATCCCCGTACACTGTTACCTTGGTTCGAGGGGAATGTCTCGGCAGAGTGGAACCAGTGGATAACGCACAAGTCCTGGACGTACCTGATGACTCGCGTTGTCCCAATTTGCGTACCATCAGTGCTGTTTCCACTTCTGATTCATCATCTCCTGATGTATTTGGCCCTTACATTGATGACAACCTCACGTCGGTACAGCGTTCCCAGCTTCTGAACCTGTTGCGAGAATATCGTTCTTCTTTCGATGTCGGGCGAAGTTCTCTCGGTCGTGCGTCCGCTGTTACGCATCGTATCGACACTGGTGCCCATCCACCATTACGGCAACGTCCCTACCGTGTGTCGCCTGCTCAACGTCGGGAAATTAACGAGCAGGTTGATGATATGCTCAGACGCGACGTTATTCGGCCCTCGGACAGTCCATGGGCGTCTCCTGTTGTTCTTGTTGCGAAGAAAGATGGTTCTGCGCGGTTCTGGGTGGACTACAGACGGCTCAATAAGATCACTCGCAAGGATGTTTACCCACTGCCGCGCATCGATGACGCAATTGACAGCCTTCACGGAGCCGAATTTTTTTCTTCTCTCGATCTGCGCTCGGGGTACTGGCAAGTACCCATGGCTGATGACGCTCGACCGAAGACTGCGTTCATCACACCCGACGGCTTGTACGAATTCAACGTCATGCCGTTTGGACTATGTAATGCACCTGCGACCTTTGAGCGCATGATGGACACCGTTCTGCGCAACTTGAAATGGCACACGTGCTTGTGTTACCTCGATGACGTTGTTGTGTTCGCTCCAGATTTCTCTACGCACCTCCAACGTCTGAAAGAAGTTTTTGCACGTGTCAGCAATGCCGGCTTGCAACTAAATCTGAAGAAGTGCCGCTTTGCAGCACGGCAACTCACCATCCTTGGGTACGTCGTGTCCAAGGATGGCATTCTTCCTGACCCAGCCAAGCTTCGGGCCGTGGCCAAATTCCCCAAACCTGCGTCCGTCAAAGAACTGCGTAGTTTCGTGGGCCTGTGCTCGTACTTCCGACGCTTCATACGAAACTTTGCCACGATCATATCACCGCTGACGAAGCTCCTTGGAAGTAACGGGTCCCTCAATTCGTGGTCGTCTGAGTGCGACGACGCGTTCGCGAAGCTCCGCCATGTGTTGACGTCTCCTCCCATTCTACGCCACTACGACCCTACGGCCCCGACGGAGGTGCACACAGACGCCAGCGGTGTAGGCCTCGGCGCTGTCCTGGCGCAGCGCAAACCCGGATTCCCTGAATATGTCGTAGCATATGCAAGCCGTACGCTCACGAGAGCTGAGACAAACTACACCGTCACGGAGAAAGAGTGCCTGGCGATCGTCTGGGCTCTTACAAAGTTTCGACCGTATTTGTATGGTCGCCCATTCGATGTCGTCACCGACCATCATGCACTATGCTGGCTTTCATCATTGAAGGATCCCTCAGGCCGTCTCGCCCGTTGGGCTCTTCGTTTACAAGACTACGACATCCGCGTGCTGTACCGCAACGGACGCCAGCATGCTG